CCTGCTGCAATAAATCAACCTCACCTGGAACCAGAACTTATTAAAAAAAAAAGTTGGAAACAATGGAGGAAAACGTCTTCACCGCAGCACCAACATTACAAGTGAATGAATGAACCCATAGCACAGATACGAGCTGCCTTCCTAGGGGATGGAGAAGCCGGGAGGAGAAGGACACCATCACAAGGGAACAGCATGGGCACCTGGGCCTGGCTCCCGGGCCACCACCACTCGAATAAAGGCAACCACCGCATACATGGAATTCCTAGAACTGCTCCTCCAGAGACAGTGGTGGACGATGAGATAAAGACGAGAGGACAGCGAGCACAGAAGCAGGCGCCCACGGCCCCTCCAGTGCGGTCCTGACCCACCTCCCCAGGGGTCCCCTCCCCTACTCAGAGGCTCCTCATCGCCGTCACCCACCGTTCTCCCAGGCATCCTCTCTCACTCAGCAGCCCCGACCACAGGTCCTGCCCCAGATCCTAGCAGAGTCTCGGGTGCTTTCTACATGCACATTGACAGCCCAGCCTTTCTGTTCCTCACTCTCTCCTCTCCAACAGCCTCTGCTCTCCCCTCCACTCAGAGACCCTGGGACTCGCACTCCCCGAAATCACTCCAAGTCCAGGCCACACTGCTCTCCAGCTGCGACATCCTCCCCAGGGCACTGATTCAAGGGCTCCTGCCTGGATGCTTCGCAGCCTCTCGGGCCCCTTTATCCCCTCCTTTACTTCAATACAAAAGCGCAAGTTCCCTTTCTGCTCTATCCACCAGCAAAACCCTGGCATGACTCAAGCCCTCCTTCCTCTTCCTCTGGGTGGAGTCACACGGCAGGACGTGGCATCCTAACCAGGTCATCGCCAACTTCAGGGGGCCCTGGGCACTGCCTGCCAGGCATCCCAAGTGCACTGCTGTTTAAGTTGACCTGCCTTCTCACTGTCACCCCCTGACCCTGCCAACCCACCTCCATTTCAACCTCCAGTTCCTGCCCTGGCACCTCCCCAGTCAGCAGACACACTGCCTCTATTTCCCACAGAACACGGAAGCCCCGTGGGGATGCCCTGCACCGCTTGCTGTTGCCAAACACCAAGCTCACCCTAGGAACCCTCACCTCCCTTCCTGGCCCCGGACCACAGCACAGGGGCAAAGGCCAACGTGGCCGCCCTGCTTCAGAGGCCAAGCCCTCTGACGCCCCAGGGAACTGACACAGCTGGCTTTTCTCCCCGTGTACAACAGTGAACCACATTCTTGCGGAGACCCCCTTCCATCAACCTGTGAACACGCGTAAGCCTCTTCCATCTTAAACAGACAAAAATGCCTGACTTCACCCTCCAGCCTTTGCTCAGTCAGTCATTCACTGATTCACTCAACAAATACCTACTGGGTGCTCCTGGGTGCTAAGTGCGGGGTGAGGGCCTGGCTCTTGGTTAAAAGGCGCGGGGGGGGGGGGCCTTCCCTGGTGGCGCAGTGGTTGGGAGTCCGCCTGCCGATGCAGGGGACACGGGTTCGTGCCCCGGTCCGGGAAGATCCCACGTGCTGCGGAGCGGCCGGGCCCGTGAGCCATGGCTGCTGAGCCTGCGCGTCCGGAGCCTGTGCTCCGCAACGGGAGAGGCCACAGCAGTGAGAGGCCCGCGTACCGCAAACAAACAAACAAACAAAAAGGCACGTGGGGGAAGCTGCCAGGCCCACAGCCCCTGAGAGGAGCTGCAGGCAAGGACAGCGGCTGGTCCTGCCCTTTCACCTCCCTGCACCCCCAGACCCGAGGCTCTTTGTCTGAGGCCCTTAGAAGAGCTCCCTGTCCAACAGGGGACACGCTCCTCCTGACTCATCCCCCTCGGCCCTCCCAATCGCCCTCCTCCCCTGACCTCAGAGTCCATAAAACTGCCTGACCCCAGGCCTTCGCTGCCCCATGAGACCCCAGATCACCACCCCGTCCCTGGTTTTAGCCCCGGGCTGGTTACATCGCAGGAAGTGATCTGCGGCTGAACTAGCCCCTTCATTTGTGGCTCTGCTTGAGGTGCTGAGCTCCAAGGACCTGGCCCTCTCCAGGTTCCCAGTCTCCTGAGCTCCTCACTGAAAGCTCCAGAGGTCAAACCCTGGGCCTTCTCCCTTTTCTACTTACCCACAATCCCTTGGTTATCTCAAGTACTTCCTCCCATGAGCTCTAGAACCTGCACTCAGATGCTAGCTGGCATCTCACTCAACATCCAGATGACCCCCCAGCGTGCGCCTTCCATGTCCCAGTCAAGGGCGACTCCATCTCTCCAGCGGCTCAGGTCAAAACCAGAGGCACCCGGGCCCCTCCAGCAGCACTCTCACACCCAGCCCGTCAGCTCTGCACTCAGACCATTTACAGAGCCTGGCCGCTCTCACTTTAAGCCACCGTCACTCCCACCTCCCTGACCCAGGTCTCTTCCCAGGACCACTACCCTAGTCCTCTGACCAGGCTCCAGCTGCCACTCTTGCCCCTGCAGTCTGTTCTCCACAGACCAGCCAGGGCGATCCTTTAAAATCCAAGGCAGTCACATGCCCGCTCTGCTCAAAACCCAACGGCTCCTCAGCACACTCAGAGTAAAGGCTGAAGTCCTTACTGTGTCCTGCAACACCCCACATGACCTGGAGCCCACCTCCCACCTTCCCGCTTCCCTGGCCCTTGGCTCCAGACACCCTGAGGCCTCTTTACGGGTCTTGAACGTGCTGAGCCTGTTCTCAGGATCTATGTTTGCATGAGTTGGGAGATATTTACTTGTACGGGTTACCCAGATATCCCAGTGCTCTTCAGATCTATGCTGTAATGTCACCCTAACAGACACATCTTCCCTGACCATCCAACACAACAAGATGATCCCAACCTCATCCACCTGCTTTACCTTCTTCCATGGCACTTATCACTGGCTGACATATTTTTATATTTGCTTGTTTATTAACTGTTTTCCCCAATTAAAATGTAAGTTCCATGTAGGAGAGGCCTTTCTTTTGGTCACTTTTATAACACCAGCATCTTGAACAGAGCCAAACATATGCAGGCGCCAAAATATTTGTTGAATGAATAAATGATCACCTCTTCTGAACTCAATGCACTTGTCCATTCCAGTCAATCACTCCAATCTTTGGTCAATGACTTCTCTACATAATTTTTCTCCCCTCTACAGAATGGGCTCAAGAGAAGTGGCACCACCACCTTCACGCCCCCAAGGTTTAGAGCAGCTCTGTCTAACAGGACTTTCTGCAATGGAATGCCCCAAGCATGTACTGTCCTATGCATCAGCCACTAACTTACTTGCCCACCCAGCACCTAAAACGTGGCTGGTATGGCTGAGAAAGGAATTTTAAATTTTATTTAACTTAAATTTAAATAGCCGCATGTCGCTAGGGCTACTGTTTGTATAGCACAGACCTAGAGCATAACGTGAAGCATAAAACAGTGGTTTAATAAATGAGCTGGGGGCTTCCCTGGTGGCACAGTAGTTAAGAATCCACCTGCCAATGCAGGGGACACAGGTTCGATCCCTGGTCTGGGAAGATCCCACATGCCACAGAGCAACTAAGCCCGTGCACCACAACTACTGAGCCTGCGCTCTGGAACCCGTGAGCCACAACTACTGAGCCCGCGAGCCACAACTAATGAGCCCGCACACCACAACTACTAAGCCCACGTGCCACAACTACTGAAGCCCGCGCGCCTAGAGCCCATGCTCAGCAAGAGAAACCACCACAATGAGAAGCCCGCACACTGCAAAGAGGAGTAGCCCCGCTCGCCACAACTAGAGAAAGCCCGTGCGCAGCAAAGAAGACCCCACGCAGCCAAAAATAAAATAAAATAAATAAATTTATAAAACAATTAAAATAAAATAAAATAAATAAATGAGCTGGGTAAGCCATTGCTGCCTAATGGACGTTTCTCATATTACCATTTATGGGTTCTTGTATTACCATTACGATTCGCCAAACTGGTTAGAGCAGATGCCTGGCTTTCAGTCTCTGAACCCTCACAGACTAGTCCAGAATCCTGTTCACAAGAGGTGCTGTTTATAACAAGGAAGGAAGTTAGGACAAGAGAAGGGACAAATAAAAGGTCCTTACGTAATACCGTTTCATTTTAAATGTTCCACTTCTGTGACAGGCAGGCAAGAATTTGTCTGCATGCAAATGACAAAGATACTTATAAAGCAGTTCCTCCTGCACTATTTTTATCCCTCCTTTTAACGGAAGGAACCCTTTTCAAGTCTCGTGGGTAAAGTACGCAGACAAGGATTGTTTTTTAAAAAAACCGCTTATGAGGGCTCAACTGACAACTTTTAATTCAGTATTATTTCACTTCTCAATGACCTGTGTTTTTTTCTTTTCTCCCTCCAGTCTCCCTCCTTCCAAAAAACATACACTCACAACACCTCACTTAATTCCAGGGTCTAACAGATGCAACGAAGCTTTAAGATTTCAGCTTATGCAGCTGGCAGGACGGGTACCCGCACAGCTACTGCGCTGCCAGCCCGAGTTCAAAGTCCACACCAGGCGCAGAAAACCAAGCGGAGGCTGGGGGAGAGCAGCGTGGGGGCAAATGGGTTATTTGGGAAAGGAAGACATGCAGCGAAGTACGTTCCTGAGAGTCGCAAGGCCAAACTGGGGGTGGGGGGGTCTCAAAGTGAGCTTCTGTAGACTACATGGAAACCTGGAAAGCGCCCCAAGTTCTTCCCGGGAGGCCCGTGGCGCCCTCCCGCATCACCTCTGCAGGTAGAAGCGGCCCGCTGCCCACGCTCCGCGGCCCCGCCCCAACACACGTTCACCCCAGAGGCCGGAGGCAGGCTCCCTACCTGTGCAGTCAGGCCCTGCTCCTCGTCGTCCTGGCCGCTCAGGACTCGCCGAAGCTTATCCATGGCCCTGCTCCTGGGCCGCAACGGCCCTTCTCGCCCGCCGAGAAACCCGGAACCGGAAACTCTTGCGGTCCACCGGAAGTCTGGGTAGCCCGCTTCCGGCACGTCGGCGCGGCCCTTGCGGCCCCCGTAGCAGCGTGCGCATGCGCGTCGGGTTCCGCCGCTGGCCTGTGTGGGCCCTGTGGCCGCGGGCGGGGGTGCCTGGGGTATGGCGTCCACATTGTGCTGGCTGCTCGCCGGCCCGCGGGGCGGAAGCTGTCCGGGAAGGACGCGGAGAGCCGCGGTCTCCCGCGCTCCGGTTCAGCAGTCGCTGCCTCCGACCTCCGGGAGTCGGGACCCAGAGGTGCGCACAGCCGTTGCTTGTTGGATGAATAGACCCACGAACGCGGATCCTCACGAGTGTCCTCGAAGCCGCGTGCCTTGGGCCCACGTCCAGGCCTGCGGACCCGGGCTCCAGTGCCGGGACTAGAAGTCTAGATCTGCAGACTCAGGTCCAGTACTGAGGCCCCGTGCCCTAGACCCGCTTCCAGGCCCGACAGAAGAAGGCTGGGGCCCTTGTGCCAATACTGGCAGGGATTCCGTTCTAAACTGCCGTTCGCCGAGTATCTCCGCTCGAAGGGAGTCCGGGGACAAGGGGCAGGCTTTGGGCGCTGGTGGTGTAACAGGGAATAGCTAAATCCGACTCCCTGTTCCGTCTGTTTCTTTGATTTCAGCCTTTGCTTTTCGTCGCTTTTGTTGGTGTAATCACATACATATATTATGGCCTGCCCCAGGGAACCCTGCCCCTCTGCCTGAATGTTAAACTAAAGAGCGTCTCTTCGTTTCCCAGGGAGACAGTCTCACCCCGCCCACCTGTAGATGGCTGCCAAAAAGAAAAAAAAAAAAGACATTAACACATCCCCTCACTCAGGCTGGCAGTTCCAGGGAATATTTGCAAAACGTATGGCCTTTTTACTTTGCTTCCTCGTCTCTAACCCCTTTCTGTGCCATAAAAGGAACTGGCATCCAAACCCCGATAAGGTGGTTTATCGGAGACACTAGTCAGCCGTCTTCTCAGTCTGCCGGCAGTGACTTATTTTCTCTCTTATTCTCTACCTTGCTAAGGAGAGATGAGAAACTAGGGCTTCCTGTACAGTGTGAATTCCAGAGAATCCAGGAGTTTTCCAGAAATACACTCCTGCTTTCCAGTTTGGTGTGATCGTGATGAAATGCCTACTGTTTTGTTTTATTACATCACCTACTCCGTTCCTTCCCTAAAATGTAACAATTAAAAGGTGGAGCCCCAAAGGCTTTTATTGCCCATCCTTACTGCTTTCAGTAGAATTGTATCTAATCTCAATGAGATAGAAAACACATGGTAAGACCCGTAGAAACACAGATGATACACTTGCTCTGATAAAACAGTCCAATGTTCAGCATATTTTAGGTGGAAAATACTTATATTTGGCCTGTTTATACTGAAGTGTGAGATCCTATTCTTTTGTCCTTAACTTAAAAAGATCAGAAAATAGAGCGGAAAAAATGCTATGAAATAATAAACCTGTGTGCTTCTATAATAAGAGTACCTCTATACATTCTCTAAATTTTTTCCTTTTGAAGTATAGTAACTTTAGTTTTGCGTATGCAAAAAGACGAAACAAACTGATACCTCTACTAATGGGGAGAAAGCTTTCCAAGGATATGTGAGGTTGAGCCATGGAATTTGCCAGTGTCCAATTGTGTTTAACCTAAAAAGGGCAATTTCATGATTTTCAACCTGTACCTGGGTGTAAGAAATTTTACTTAGAAAAGAATATTGAAGATTTAAGAATGTGATTTGGGCCTTTTCACTTCTCATGCCCTATGAGCCAAGCTTCGTTTCCTAAAAAATACCACATAAAATTTACTGAAGTCATAAGCCAATGGAGATAATTGGATAAGAGTCTAGGCTCCGTAGTCAGACTGCCTGGGTTAGAATCCTGGCTCCCCCGTTTTGTAGCTGTGACGTTTGGGGCAAGTCAACCTAAACTCCTGTTTCACTTTCTGATATGAGAAAATCAAGGTGATAATAGTGCCTACCTTGCAGGGTTGTTATGAGGATTAAATAATACATCAATCGACCCTCATCATTCAGGGGTTCTATATTACAAATTCACCTACATGCCAAAATTTATTTGTAACCCCGAGATCAATACTTGCAAGCACTTTCGCAGTCACTCAGGACATGTGCAGAACAGTGAAAAGTCAGACACCCAACACTCACCATCACGGCTGGGGTGGAACAAGGCCGTGATGTGCCTTCCTGTTTCAACTCATACTGCAAACAGGCGCCGTTTTTGCGGTCTGCTTAGTGCTACATTTTTTCACATACTTGTGCCTTTTCTTGGTGATCTCACTGTTTAAAATAGCCCCCAAGCCTAGTGCTGAAGTGCTGTCTAGGGTCCTAAGCACAAGAAGGCTTATGGAAAAAAAGTATGTGTTAGAGAAGCTTCATTCAGGCTGTTGTATGCTAATGTCTGTGAGTTCCACATTAATGAATAATACATACTGAATATGAAGTTTTTAAACAGAATCACTTCAGACAAGGTTATGGGTTGATCAGTTGAGGAACACGCAGTCAGAGGCTCGCAGGACCCTGACCCGTGTCTGCAGGAGTGGGGCCTCAGTCTTCGTAAACCAGTGTTTGCAGCGACTTTATCAAACGTAACCTGCAGATGACAAGGATTGACTATAGGTGTAAGGACGGGGCCTACCACATGCCAAGTGCTGAACAAATGCTGGGTTTTGTGATTCTAACCATTACTGTTGTTTCATCGTGTCTAATGTCTGCTCTGGGTCCCTGTCTCCCTTCCCATCTGTGAAAGGAAGATCTAAACGGAGTCATTATTGCTCAGAGAGCTCTGTGACCTGGAACCAGGAAGCCACGGAGGAAGGTGACATGCATGCCTCAGCCTGGATGGACTCTGACCTTTTGACCTGATGAAGTTGTCCAGAGCACCTGCCAGAAACGCAAGATACTTATCGGACCCTTACCCTAAAATAACTTGAGACAGTCTATCTACTTATTGGACCCCTGCCCTAAAACAACTGACGATGCCTTAAGGACAAATCTTCTCTCACTTGCGACTGTCGATCACGGTTCTTGCCAGGCAACCTTTAACAGCCTCCTGGCTTGTTTTCTTTTTTCCTGGCTTTGTGTCTTCAGAAGCCCCTGATCCTTTCTCTTCCTTGGAACACTTCTTTGGGGTTGCCCTGAATCTGTCTCCCAGACTGCAATTCTTAAGACCCCAAATAGATTCTTCCTATTTGCACCCTGACACATCCTAGTGAACAGTCTGTAAGGAAGCCCGAAGTTAGCTTGTACTTCGTGCCCAGAATCCTAGAACAAAAGCCGGGAGCTTCCTACTTCCTTCCTCTTCCTGCTTCTCAGCCACAGGTCTTTCCAGAGGCAATGGCCTATCCAAACATGAGGCAGCCGGACAAGCAGGAGGCGGTCCCAAGTGGTGAGATGCAAAGCTTGAGAACATCTTTCCTGGGCCCCGAGATGAGGGTCCCCGCTTCCTTCCAGGCCCGCCAGAGGGGGTCTCCGCACCTGCGATGGTCCCTCCTCCCTCCTCCCTCCACCCACCCTCCCTCTGTCCCTTCACCAGCCCGCAGGGGAGCCCGAGTGAAGGAAGCAACAACAAGTTCCAGCAGAGCCCTCGGTCAGGGAAGCTGAGGTCCCCCCGGGAGACGTGTGGTCCTTTCCGGAGGCAAGCCCAGGGCCAGCCCACCCCCCAGAGGCCACTCCATCCCACGTCAAGACCTCTGCCCCCAAGGGGCCCCACGCACAAACCAGCACCCCTTCACCAGCTGACTGTGGTGAAAGAGGCTGGGTTCCCAGAGGGGCCTTAGGAGAGGTAACACCTGGTGAGCCTCTGCGGGAACCCTTCCCCATGGAAACATTTTAAGCATTTTGAAACAAAGACAATACAAAACATCTCAAGTTTCCTATTCCCATTTCTTAAGTTTCATACAGTACTTTGTAGAAAAATGTATCAGACACTCTCCAGTGACAATTCAGGTAGGAAATTACACTGGAATCTGAGCCCCTGAGCGGCTAGAAGGGCCTTAGAAAGAGTGCAGCAGCCATGAGTTGGGAGAGAGCTGGTGACAGTTCATCATGGGCCCTTGACTGTCTCATAAGCTTGCCTTAATCCCTTCTCTGGACATGATAGCAAAGCTGGGCACAAAATGCAACACAATAGCTTTTCTTCCTTGAGGACTGAGGCACCAGAATGCTTTGTGAGTGAACCAAGTCGGTTGCCCGTTAAGGCCGTGAGGCTGCCCCAGGCAGAGGGTGGGGACCAGCTGTCATTGTGCAGGGGTGGGGATGGAGAGACCTTCATTCCTTTCTGCCTCCCGACCACACCCCTGGAAACAAAGCGAGCGCCCTGACAAGCCCTGCCATAAGGGCGACACTCAGAGTGTCCCACTGGAACAGGAGGTGGGCGCCGTCGCCACGCTCCCGGGTCAGCAGGGCCCCTGAGATGATCGCCACACCGCTCCCGCACCCAGGGGAAGGCAGACGGGCGGGCAAACAGCATGTGGTTTGGCAACGCCACTGTCCCAGGACACACACGGCACAGAAGTGGCCGACGTCAGCACCAGCCAATCCCTCGTCTGGCCCCGCAGCCGGCCATTCTCCACACGTGGCGTGGAGGTCATTGTAAATCTATTCATCTCACTCCTCTGCTGAAAAACCTCCAAGGACTCCACTCCAGCCCCAGAGTAAAGGGCACTATCGTGATAACAAAGGGCAGGGTAGATTAGAGAAGCGCACAGAGCTGGTCCTGACCCAGCCCCGGCTCTTCTCTCCAGCCTCACACATCACCACATCTTTCTTTCCACAACACATACAGGGGCACACGTACGTGCATGCCTGCACGCACACCATGTAAACACACGTGGAGACCCACCTGTTTAGCCAGGCCTCCGTGCTCAGCGTCTGCGGCATCCACAGGCCTGTTCTCGTTGCTTGAAATCTTGCCTCCCATGTCCCCCAAGGCCCACACCCAACTCCTCCAAACTTCCTTTCTCGGCCAATGCCCACTTGACCTCTGGGTCTCCTCCTCGGGGGAGCCCTCCCGGACCTTTTACGACGTGGCCAGGGGTCCGAGCCCAGAGCCCTCCTCATGCTCTGTCCATCCCTAAGCAGGGTCACCAGTCTCTCCCCAGCTTTGCCTGGCCGAGGTCGGTCATCCCACTAGACTGCCTCGTGTCCAGACCCCACCCCGTGATGGAAGCTCAGAGGATGTTTATAGAATGAATACATGAGTAACAGTAACGAGAGCACGTTTAAAGGATCTGAGACATAATTTGCCTCAATACGACGTCTAAAGTTCATTGTAGGGATGAAAGTAAATCTAGGTGTCAATAAATGAACAGTTATGTGTTGAGCACGTTCTGTGTGTAGCTGTCCCTTCAGCGGGCTGGTGAGGTCTAGAAAGATACAGCTGAGCGTTCAAACGGCCCAGATAAGCCAGGCGTTTCTTCCACCGTGGGTGCTCACGGGGCCTCCCTCCACTACTGAGGAGGAGAAGGTCCGAACCTTTGCCATGTGTGAGCTAAGTGGTGTGCAGTGTGCTTTGACCCTCAGGCTCCCTTCTCACACACTGAGCCGCGTGAACCACTGAGTGCTGAGTGAAGGGGTGTGTCCCCCAAAGATCTGCTCTTTTGGAAAATATCCTGCTTCTTAATTTTGCTCAAATGTGTTATTCCAAAGAAAGACACAAAGGTGATTCTTTTTATGATTATCTGTTGGGCATTATATCTTTCCAGGGGAGAAGGTTTTTTTTGTTTTTCTTAAGATTTTTTGATGTAAACCATTTTTAAAGTCTTTATTGAATTTGTTGCAATATTACTTCTTTTTTTTTTTTTTTTTTTAATGTTTTGGCTTTTTTGGACCCGAGGCATGTGGGATCGTAGCTCCCCGACCAGAGATTGAACCCGCACCTGCTGTATTGAAAGGCCAAGTCTTAACCACCGGACCTCCAGGGAATTCCCCAGGGGAAAAGTTTTTGCAACTCAAACCCCTTGACGAGAGAAAATGCCACCCCCAAATCCTGTTTCCTGAGAGAGAGCAGAGAGCCTGGTAGGTAAGAACAGAACTCTGCTCTTGCTCTGTCTTTCTGTCAACAGGTGGTGGTGTCAGCGATAAAATCCCTGCTGAGGTCACAGCTCTGCTGTAAATGGAGCTTCCAGTCACCCTATTAATGTCCATTTGAGGTCTTCAGGAAACTCCTTTACTAGTTCCTCAAAGCAAGGGACCCTCACACGACTTTGAATGAGTGAACCAGCTATAAACGAGTTTTGGATGTTGCTTGCTTAAAAGCAAAGGTAAATCCAGCATTTTGATCATTTATTTCTCCTGCTCCATTTGCTATATCCCTACTGGATGATGGAAACATGACTGCAGTATTACACGAATGGTTAAAATATGTTCCCATGGTAACTGCGACCAGGATGCAATCTATAGAAAAAGAGTGTGTATCAGTGCAACTAAATGACAATCCAATTAAAAATAACCCAATCTGCCTTTTAAGGAATTAGTAGATTAACGTGCATTTGTTTTGTACTTGTTATTTTGTTCAGAGAAGAAAAAGATACTATCTCACCCTTGAAGAAGTTACAAATTAATTTTTGAAATGATATTTAATCATAAATGAACACAAGCAAGACAGCACAGGGTGAATTTTAACTTTGGACATTCGTGGCCCCTGAAGGCAGCACCTGGGACTGTTTTGGAAGCGTAGAGCCTCAGGCCCTGGAGTGAGGGCTTCCCGCTACCGGGCCCCTCGGGTGATGCACAGCGAAGTGTGCAAGCGCTGGCCTCCACTAGGGAAACAGGGAGATCCCGAGGCAGCCTTATTCAGGAGGCGGATTTGGAGGGATACTTGTATAAAAACAAGGATTTGCTGCCCAATTCCAGAGACCTTACTTTCCAAATCTGTATCGATTCCGTTCTTCTTTCTCCATCTCAACTCTCTCTGCAGAGCCCAAGCCTCGGCCCCCCTCGGCGGGCATCCCTTCTCCTACTCTGATGCGGCTCCCATCCCGCTGACCAGTGAAACGCAGGTGACAGCCCCTCGGCTTTCACACCTGCGTGCGGCTCCCTTCCAGATAGGTCAGGTCCATACCACCTGCCCCGACTGGGTTCCCATGGAGACAGTGCGGCAGATGTCTGTGTGCAGGACGCAGGACCAGCCCCAGCAGGGGCGTGACAGGAGCAGGTGTGCACCCAGACAATGGGATAGAGTCTAGGCAGAGGCTTTGAGCCCATCCCACGAGGCAACCCATCATGAGGGCAAAGGTCCAGGCCTCCACTTCTGCGTCCATCCGTCACTGGACAGGACTGCCCCTGGGGACAGGCGTGACCTGGTGTGAGGCGGCCATTCCCCAAGAGGACTCAGCCAGCACTCGAGTGGCTTCACCGAGGTTACGTGTGAGAGGGGCGGTCAGCCTGGGAACCAAGGAGAAGTGAGCACCACCGTGGGGCCACCTGCAAGGTCAGTGTCAGGAGCTAAGCCACCGTCAGCAGCAGCCATGGCCAGCCGGCCAGCGTGAGTGGGGCGGGGAGATGCAGCTACAGCTGCCGTGGCCAGAAAAGGCTATTGGCCACAGGGGGACTCATGTGGGAACAGAGAGCGCTGAGTTAGACCCATACCCCTGAGTCCTTGAAGCTGGTTTGGCTGAAGAGGAAGTCAGTTTACAGACAGCTTGGGCACCGCTTATACCAATGTTGGGTCTCTGAATCCTGTCACTTATATGACCCGTTCACTTCATATTTGTCTCTGTCTCCTTTTTCTTCTCTGTAAATTGGGAATCATAATAGTACCGACATGATAGGGATGTTGTGAAGTAGTGATCTTGGACTGCGCCTGCTACACACTGAACGCTTGCTCAGTGATGATGGGTATTAGCATCATTTATTTGGATAAACCTGTAATTATATTCCAGCCTGGCCTCTTAGGTGCTGTGACCTTGTGCAGGTTTTCTGTTGCTGTTTTTTTTACTTCATGTCTCTGCTTAGAAATAATATTATTTCATGCACTTTTCGTTGATTGCATCTTTTGGAAATTCTATTCCCTGGTTAAGAAAATGAATTGCAAATTTGTGTTAAGATAAGCAAAGATTAAAAGGAAACATCTGTTTTGTGCTGCTACAAAGAATATTAACATCCAAGATGCATGAGCTGGGGTCTCACTTAGCACCCAGCACTCTCCTTCTTGGTACTCCATTACGTGGGCTGACTGAATCACAAGCTATCTTTACACCAAAATAATGCATATTTCAACTTCAGAAAATGTATTAGATGTCTGTCACGATTGTCAAGTCTGTCTTTGTTTTCCTGTCATCGGAACAGTGAATGTATTTTACAGGAATTTAGGCAGGGACTTTTCATATGTTGTATAAAAAGCTCTTGCAAGTGCAGGAAATATAACTGATGCTGATAAAAGTGCCTAAAAAGTTAAACGGCAAACTGTCCATTCTAGGTGCTCATATGAGTTTCTGTTGATGTAAATAGGATGACTTGTGACAATTATTATAAAAGCCAGGGTAACCCAGAGATGTGTGCACTAGTTTTCTAACTAGCCTTTCAATAATCCTTCTAGAACCTTTGCCATGGGAGCACACCTGTATACCTGGATCATATGTCCACGGGGGCTCTCCAGCTTTACCCGGCGGTTGGTGTATTGCAGTAAGTAGAGGGTCATTTTTCCATAAGCTATAAGGTGTTTGAGCAGGTACAAGGTGATTTCCTCAGCTCTTTGCATGGTTTTCCTAGGATCAGAGTCTGGACTTGTGATTGTGGTATCCCTGCCCATGACACTGTACACTCTTCCCAGCGAAGAGGGGGAACAGCTCCCCTCAGGGTAAGCTTGTTGAACTCAGGTACCACATCGAGGTCATTCTGTTTGTTTCCTTCTTTATGTATTCCCAGCGTCTGTCAGACTCATGGAACATAGTAAATGTTCCCTAAATATTTTTCGCATGAATGAACGAACAAAAAGTTATAACTCCAACAGTTCACTAGAAATTATCTCATCTTTCCTCCTTTTTAAATAAATAAGGCAAGCATCCTCATTCAGTAACATTCTTGCAGTCTTACAGCTGGTTAAGAGCTGAGCAAATGTCAGCCACATCAACAGACCGTTGGTGACGAGACTGGGTCATTTTGCTCGGCCTGAGTGGGAGAGAGGTCACGAGGACGGTTCCCAGACATCCTTCCTGACACGCAGGGTCTTCTTCACTCACCACTTGCGTTTCCTGTCCAGAGATAGTTATGGAAGCAGAAGATGGTTAAGGGGTAGATTTGTTTTTGCATCAATTTCATTGTTAATCACTCTTGCAGAAGGGTTGGTTACGAACAAACAAAAAAATAAAAGTTGTACAATCTAAAGCGCTTTGTTTTCAGACAGTCTTGGCCCTGCCTGAACTGGCCCAGACGCTAAATCTCAGAAACGTGTGAGCTTTTCGTCCTAGGTTTTCATGTGTATGTTAGGAGGCGAAAGGGAGATTCTAAGAAGGAGGATGTATGTGTTTTTAAAAGTGTTGTTGTATTCCTTACAACAAACATTAGCTGAACACAATCACGACTCCATGACCTCAGGGTTTGAACCTTGTGAGGCCACAAGGGGGCGTAATTTGGCCACAAAAGAGTCTCAAGCCTGGAGAGAGCCGAGGAGGGCAGAGCCTCTTTGGGAACCACCTGCCTCCGGGAGGAGAAGCAGGTGTCTGCGCTTTCCACCTTCTCCCTCAGGTGCTCCTTGCTCCCAAAGCCGGGGGCAGAGTCTCTTCCAGCCCAACCCAGTGACTGTGTCCCTGGGGCATCACAACTTAACACAGGAAGAGCAGGGTCCTCCCTGCAGACAGGTGGAGGCCTTAGGAGATCTTAATGATTTGTGTATTTTATTGAAAACCCCAAATATTTCATTGGCTGCTAAAACTGACGACACACAAATTCCTCCCTCCGCCCCCGCCCTTCTCTTTCTTTCTTTCTTTCTTTCTAACTCATATTTAGGAGACTCCATCCCCTTTATTTCCTTTTTTTTTTTCTTTTTTTCTTTTTGCGGTACGCGGGCCTCTCACTGTTGGGGCCTCCCCCGTCGCGGAGCACAGGCTCCGGACGCGCAGGCCCAGCGGCCATGGCTCACAGGCCCAGCCGCTCCGCGGCATGGGGGATCCTCCCGGACCAGGACACGAACCCGCATCCCCTGCATCGGCAGGCGGACTCTCAACCACTGTGCCACCAGGGAAGCCCCATCCCCTTTATCTCTTTTGGCCCTGATCTTGCACCTCTGCCTGGGGACCAGCCCACAAGTGCCAGTGTAAACAGGGGAAAGCGCAGAGGGTTAGGCCTGCACCTGGGAAGGCAGCTCTGTGCTCCAGGCTTTCTGGAAGGACTTCTTCTCTTACTGGTTGTGTTGCTTCCACAGGATGAAAATTATTTTCTCTGACTGTTGTGTGTTATCTGAGTTCCAGTTAGGAAAACTCCAGCTGGACGGCAGATGCCCGTACTCTTCTTATGGAACTTGAGCTGAGATCAGGTAAAGTAAGACAAACGTCTTTGCTGCTGCGACTACCGGCAATTAACACGTCAGACAGAACTTGTCTTAGGTGAATGTTCCATGATTACTGGGGACTGAGGTTGACCATGTTGCTTAGTGGTTGGGTGGTGGGTTCTGGTCTTAAAGACCTGGGTTCAAACCCTGAGCCCCTTGCTGTGTGACTGATCTCAGACAAGCTATCTAACCTCTTTGTGTCCAGTCTCTATCTGTGGAAGAGGGAACATAGTGGGATGTAAAGTACCCAGAGCGTCTTAAGTGCTTCCTATACACTTGTTATTATAATGTCATAATGTTTATAGTAGAGTTTGCTCATACCCTTCACCTAATTCTCCCTAATGTTGACATCTTACATCACCAGACCGCAGGGATAAAACCAGGAAATTAACGTGGATGCAACACCATTAACTAAGCTGTGGACTCTATTCGTGTTTCTCCAACTGTCCCCCTAACGTCCTTCTTTGTGTCCGGGACCCAGTCCCAATGGGTTCAGCGGCCACGACTCCTCAGCCCCTAGCGGGTCTGCAGGCTTCCTTCCTCTTTCACAACCTGAGCACTTTGAGAGATTCCTGGCAAGTGATTCTGTAGAATGTCCTTTGCTTTGGGCTAATCTGATATTGCCTCACAATTACACTGAGCTTACGCATTCTGGGGCAAGAATACCGCAGAATTCTCAGTGCATCCTGTCCGGAAAGACGTGTGTTGATATGTCTTATTACAGACACAGTCGGTCCTCCGTATCCACGGGTTCCCAATCTGGTGGATTCAACCAACTGAGGTTGAATGAAAACATTAAAAATAAATTTTTCCAGAAAGTTCCAGGAAGCAAACCTTAAGTTTCAGGTGTCAGCAAATATTTACATAGTATTTACCTCGTACTTACAACTACAGGCATTGGCATTTTAATAGGCATTGTAAGTTATCCAGAGACATTTAAAGTATAGGAGGATGTGCATGGGTTATATGCAAATACTACACCATTGTATACAAGGGACTTGAGCACCTGCGGATTTTGGTGTCCGAGGGGGGTCCTGGAACCAGTCAGCCTCGGATAATGAGGGACGACTGTTCTGTTAACTTTATTCCGGTGGCGTCAGCCGTGTGTCCTCGCCGTAGAGTCACTGTTTTCCCATCTGTAATTGGTACACACCTCGGAGGAGATACACTGAGACTGCAGCCATGATTCCTCATCATGCCCACACCCACCACGTTTAGCACCACTAGATGGTTCTGGCCTAGGCCCATTATTACTGTGGTGTCAGCCTAAGGGAAATTTTCTATTTCCATCATTTACATTTACCTCTGTAATTCTACTGTAAGGAAGAACTGTCCCTTCTCTGCTGTATGCATGTATGTATGTATGTGTGTATATATGTATGTGTGTATGTGTGTGTGTGTGTTCATTCATTCATCCATTCATTCATTCGTTCTTCATTGACATGACTATGGACTTATGGGTATTGATGTTATCCTATGGGTTAGTAATTACTATCACTTTTTTTGCCAAAATTGTCCCAGATTTGGCCCCTGGGGCTCTTCAAGCAGAGGCTCCTGTGTTTTTTCAACATATGCCCTCACGATTTTTTCAGCGCTTCCTTAATTTCTGGCACCATAAAAATGTTCCAAGCTCATCGTGTGTTTTCCTAACCCCACGCTGGAGTTGACCATTTTCCAAGGAGTACTGTTGCTTTTATTGGAAACTCATACTTAGAAACGGGTATCTGACCTCTAGGTTGTGCTGCCCCTGGGTGTCCTTGACTCTCGGCCACCCAAGCAGACAGAACTGGATCAATATATAGACACTATGAGTTGATTCTTACACCTCCCCTTCATCCTGTCCTCCCCTTTGCCTGGCTCATAACTGTCTTTTTCTGACAGTGAGAAACCTGGCTTTTATCATCCGTGGTGTATTTACATATTTGCTCAATCCTGGATTAAACGTAATTCAGTTCACAATTTCTTACCCTCACTCCTTGGGAAACACATTTCCGAACGAGAGTGAGATATTTGAATGTGGATCGTTTTGTCCTGAGCGTCACCGTGTAGTCGATGTACCGTTTTCCAAACGTAACGGGTTCGTGATTTTCTTCCCCACTCGCTTCATTGCCGGTGTCATCCAGTCTCCCCACAGCCAGGTTCATGTGGAACCTGTGCACTACACCCGGGCTACCCCACATCCTGGCTGACTTTAAGTACTTATTTGAGGGAGCTGTTCTAGAACCAAAGGATACACAGAGGTGTCTCTCTCCCCTCACCTCCTTTTCCTCATTCCCTTCCCTTCACTGTCTCCACCCCATTCCCACACTTCCCTGGCTGGTGACTAATCTCATTAATTTCTAGTTTGTGCTTCTGCATTTCTTTTGCACAAAGAGCAGATACATGCGTATTCTCCTGCGTCACCCTCCTCTCTTACACAAGGCTGGTATACTAAGGTACCCTTCTGTATTTCACTTTTGTCACTTAGCACTATATTCTGGAATATCCATATCAGTTCTTAGAGGTCATTTTTTTTTTTTTTACAGCTGCATAACGCTACATTGTATTCTGCAGTTTTCTTAATGACTACTTAGGTTCTTTCTACATTTTTTTCCATAACAAATAATGTTACAATGAATAACAATGCATACATATATAGATACACATACATATACACATATGTGTATGTGGAGTTATGAGCTATCTACTGCTGCCTAACAAATTCCCTCCAAATATAATATCTTAAAACAACGAACGTTTATCACCTCACGGAATCCGGGGGTCAGGGATCTACGCACGGCTTCTCTGGGTCATCTGTCTCGGGTCTGTCGCAGAGCGCCGTCGAGGTTCCAGCAGGGCGGCGGTCTCAGCTGAGAGGACCCAGGTGCAGGCTCACTCACGCGGCTGTTGGTAGGATGCAGTCACGTGGTGGCGCTGGGCTGAGAGCCTTGCTGGCTGCAGGCTGCTCTCCGTTCCCAGGTCATCCGCGGGAAGCTGGCTTCCATCCGCGCAAGCGAGCAAGACAGAACAAGACCCAAGTTACAGGCTTTTTGCAGCCTAATGTCAGACGTGGCATTCCATCCCTTTGCCACATTCTGTTCATTAGAGGTGAGTCAGTAGGTCCAGGTAACACTCGAAGAAGGGGAGTGCACGGGGGCCTCAATTCCAGGCGGTGGGATGCCGGGGAGCCGTTGCAGAGCCTGCCTGTCACAGAATGAATCTTCAGGGTAAAGCAGAGGATTGCTGGGCCAGAGTCCGTGTGTGTAGGTTTGCTGGGTGTCACTGAATTCCCCCGCAAGGTAGGTTACACAGATTTGCATTCCCACCAGTCACACGTACGAGTGTGTTTGCCCACAGCCTGGACAACACGATGCATCATTGGGCATTTCTATTTTGACCAATTTGACAGGTAAAAAATATTTCAATGTTGTTTTATTTTGATTTCTTTAATTATGAGTGAGTGTGAACATGTCTTCCATACATTTAAGTACCATTTTAATATCTTTTAGGTGAATTGTCTGATGGTGTATTTTTCCTATTTTTGTATCACAATTTTGTTTTTTGTTCTTCGATTTTAAAGAGTTTTTTATATATTATAGTTATTAGCCTTTCTCTGTAACATGAGTTGCAAATGTTGTCTCCCAGCTTGACAGCTGCCTTTTGACTTTGCATATAGTGCTTTTTCCATGCAAAATTTTTAAATTATTTTGGTAAGTCAAATTTATCACCTTTTTTTGTATTACTTCTGAATTTTGAGTCATAGTTAAAAAGCCTTTCTGTCCACTAATGTTAAAGAGGAATTCACCCATGGTTTCTTCCAGTGTTTGAATGGTTTCCTTTTCCACTTATGTCCTTGTTTCATTTGGTGTTTATCCTCGTGTATGGTGTGACGTAGGACTGTGACAATGTCTATTTGCAAATGGCTACCCAGTTGTCCCAGCAACATTTATCAAAGTCCTCTTTTTTTTAGAGTTTTGACTGTCTTCTTCTTCTTCTTTTTTTCATTTTTAACATCTTTATTGGAGTATAATTGATTTACAGTGGTGTGTTAGTTTCTGCTTTATAATAAAGTGAATCAGCTATACATATACATATATCCCCATATCTTCTCCCTCTTGTGTCTCCTTCCCACCCTCCCTATCCCACCCCTCTAGGTGGTCACAAAGCACCGAGCTGATCTCGCTGTGCTATGCGGATGCTTTCCACTAGCTATCTATTTTACGTTTGGTAGTGTATATATGTCCTTGCCACTCTCTTACTTTATCAAAGTCCTCTGGTGTCCTGTTTTGCTATTGAGAATCCACTTCAATCTGACTTATTCTTTGCCCCAGTGACCTGAGTATATTAAATTTTCATATGTGCTTGTATCTATCCCTGGGCTTCCTTTTCTCTGCCACTGGTCTCTGTCTGCTCATTCCCCCACACCACAGTATTGTAACTTAAAAGGTTTCTGGCAGAGATAAGCCACCCTCATAGTTTTTCTTTTTTAGTATTTTCCTAGCTATATTTACATGTTTAATTTTCCAAATGAAATTTAAAAATTTTTTTAAATTTATTTTTGGCTGCATTGGGTTTTTGTTGCTGCGCGCAGGCTTTCTTTAATTGCAGTGAGCGGGGGCTACTCTTTGTTGTGGTGCGCGGGCTTCTCATTGCGGTGGCTTCTCTTGTTGCAGAGCATGGGCTCTAGGCGCACGGGCTTCAGTAGTTGTGGCTTGTGGGCTCAGTAGTCGTGGCTCACGTGCTCTAGAGCACAGGCTCAGTAGTTGTGGCGCACGGGCTTAGTTGCTCCGCTGCATGTGGAATCTTCCCGGACCAGGGCTCGAACCCATGTCCCCTGCATTGGCAGGCGGATTCTTAACTACTGCTCCACCAGGGAAGTCCCCGAAATGAACTTTAATATTAACTTGTCTAACTCCATAAAAAAAGCCTATGGATATTTTTATTTCTATTGGGGTTTTATTGCATTCATAAGTTAATCTAGGGAGAACTGACATTTTTCTAAGTTTGAATCATCCTATCCAAGAACAGGTGGTGTCTTTCCATTTGTTCAAGTCTAATTTTGTGTCTTTCCAGAGTACTTTAAAGTTTTCCTCCTATAGTTTTTGCATATTTCATGGTTTTTTTTATTCCTAAGTGTTTCATCTTCTGTTTATTCCTAAGTATTTCATCTCCTTTGTTGCTTTTGTAAATAGGGTTTTCTCTACTACCGTGTCCTCCAATTGGTTATTGTTTGTGTAAAAGAACTCTTGATTTCTGTATGTGAGGTCTATATCTTGCTACTACACTAAATTATTTTATTGAGTTAGTTTTGTCATTGATTTTCTAGGGTTTTCCTGGTATATTTTCATATCATATATAGAGTTGTTTTTGTTTTTTTGGTTTTTTTTGCGGTACGCGGGCCTCTCACTGTTGTGGCCTCTCCCGTTGTGGAGCACAGGCTCCGGATGCGCAGGCTCGGTGGCCATGGCTCACGGGCCCAGCTGCTCTGCGGCATGTGGGATCTTCCCAGACCGGGGCACGAACCCGTATCCCCTGCATCGGCAGGCGGACTCTCAACCACTGCGCCACCAGGGAAGCCCAAAGAGAGAGTTTTTACTTCTTCTTTACCAATCCTTACACCTGTACTTGATTACCCTTCTCTAATTGCATTGCCTAGTATCCCTATACAGTGTTGAATAGTTGAGGAGATACTGGGCGTCCTTAACCTTGTTCCTGATCTTAGTAAAAATGCCTCTAAAGTTTCTCCATTAAATAAGATGCTGGCTTCAGGACCAAGGACTATGTATGTTATCTTTATTATTATCATATTAAGAAAGCATCTGGGGACTTCCCTGGTGGCACAGTGGTTAAGAATCCGCCTGCCAATGCAGGGGACCCAGGTTCGATACCTGGTCTGGGAAGATCCCATGTGCTGCAGAGCAACTAAGCCCGTGCACCACAACTACTGAGCCTGTGCTCTAGAGCCCGCAAGCCACAACTACTGAGCTCATGCACCACAGCTACTGAAGCTGTGCACCTAGAGCCCGCGCACCGCAACGAAGAGTAGCCCCCGCTCGTCACAACTAGAGAAAGCCCGCACCCAGCAACGAAGACCCAATGCAGCCAAAAATCAATCAATCAATTTATTAACAACAACAACAAAAGAAACCATCTTTCAAATCCATTGAGTAATTTTGGTCAGGAATGTGTTCTGAATTTTGTTCCAAGGCTTTTACAGCATCTGTAATTATATGATGTCTGTAATTATATGATGTAATTATATGATGTGGAGATACTGTAATTATATGATGTCTTCCTGGATCTGTAAATAGGTGAATAATATTAATGGATTTTCAAATATTGAACCAACTTTGCTTTCCTGGAATAAGTCACACTTGGTCATGGGGAATTATTTTCTTAATGTGGTATTGACTTCTACTTGCTAACATCTTATTTGTATTTTTATCATCCATTATATGCAATTTTTCGGTATCTTTCTGTTTTAATTATGTCTCTTCTAGACATCATATTATCGGACATTGATTTTTTTTAATAGTCAATCTGAGAGTCTTTATCTTTTATATTTGTAAGTTTTATCTATTTATAATTATTATGGTGACCATATACTAGGATTTATCTTATTTCATATTTTGCTTTTATTGAACTTTTTTTGGCTTCCTTTATTCTCTTCTCCTGTTTTCCTTGGTCATTTTGAGTATTCTGCCAGTTTAAAAAGTTAAACATTATATTTTCGTTCTTACTGTGGCTACCCTCTACTTAAAACCTATAATTATGCATATTTACCTGTAGTAGTAAACTTAGAAATATCTTATTGTGCCCTTATTAGTCAGGATTTTCTGCCCACGATCATGTCCCTTGGTCTCCCTCTTCCCTCAGCCCCATAGTGCTGAGATTTTAGTTCTAGACTGTTATGGACAGTCTGTTTCCCACTTGGGTCCTATAGTGGACTTTACCTAAGCATTTGATTATCCTTAATTCCACACCTCTTATAGCAGTCTCCTGAATTTGTCTCTTTTCTTGTCTGAATCCTTCCTTCAAGAGCATTTCCACTGTGTGATAACATTTTTGAGGCTTTATATGAGTGAGAATACTTATATCCTCACATCTGAGTGACAATTTGGATAAAAAAATCTGACATTCAAAGTTCTTTACTTTTACTACTTTAAAACCATTACACCAGTATCCCCTTGTACCATTTCCCTACCAGTCTGTCTCTTACTCCTTTATAGTTTAGGGTGAAGATAAAATTTATCGTTCAACCAGGACACATTTGAGAGTGAAGAGGGCACTACCAGTAATTAAGCTTGGGCAGTCGGTGTAAACCAGGATGATCCTGTGTAAACTGAGACATAATACCCTGCTTACTTACAGGTGGTTTAGTCACCCCACTTATAGATGATTACTTCTTTCTCTCTGGAAGCTTTTAGAATTTTCTTTCATTTGATATTCTTGGGTTTTGCTGTAACACTTTTAGGTGTGGTTTTCTCTTTTTTAAAATATTTACTTATTTATATTTTTGGCTGCGTTGGGTCTTAGTTGCAGCAGGCAGGATCCTCTGCTGTGGCCCACGTGCTCAGTAGTTGTGACCCATGTGCTCGGGGGTTGTGGCACGGGGGCTTAGTTGCCCTGAGGCATGCAGGCTCTTAGTTCCCCAACCAGGGATCAAACCGTGTCCCCTACATTGGAAGGCAGATCCTTAACCACTGAACCACCAGGGAAGTCCCTAGGTGTGGATTTTCTGTTGTCCCCTACTTGGTCTTCTATGAATTCTTTCCATTTGAGCCATATCTTCCTCCCTCCCTCCCTTCCTTCCTTCCTTCCTTCCTTCCCTTCCCTTCCTCCATCTATGTCCCAGTGACTCCTGCTGTAATTTCTTTCACTCCCAGACTCTTTATTGTAGTCAAATGCAGAGAGTCACTTATCCTGCCAGCAGGAGTTCTTTCAGTCTATGTGAGATGTATATTTATTACTGCAAATTTTTAAAAAGGATTTTGTTTTGCACCTCTGTCTCCAGTACATTTTAATTTTTGAGTGCTTTCACAGCCTTAGGCACTCTGGGCCTGCGGAGTCAGGAGCCCCATCCCCTGGCCTTCCCTAAGAAGACATTACACTGGGCTAATCGTAAAGGATATTTCCAGATGCCCACGGCTCCACTGATGTCTCATCAGGAATTGTGGACATGAAGCCTAAGACGTCACGTTCCTTGTCTCAGGATGGTTAGAGCTGCTGATTGCAAACAGTGGAATCTACTTGGACCAGTTTAAGCAGAAAAGGGATTTACTAAATGCTTTGAGGTCCACCACGGAATCGTGCAGAATGGAAATGAGTTTTAAGACTATGTTTCCAGGACCAACACCTGGACCGTGCGATGCGACTGGACAAGTGAGAAAGTGGCCTCCACCTGCTTAAAGCCTGGGCATCTGCTGCCGGAACTGACGCCCCTTCTCAGTGACGGAAGCTGCACGTGGACCCACAAAGTGGACGTTGTGTGGAGAGCCTGCTTCCTGGGATGCTCGCTTCCAAACGCAGGGTCACCTGGGAGGCTGTGTGGCACAGAGGGAGCCCTCCAAGGCTCCCGGCTGCCAGGGAGGCTTAATTAGAAAGACTTTTAGAAGAAAATGGAATGTGGTTGGATTTAAATGAAGCAAAACTTGAAAGACTGGATCCATCCATTATAGACTGTTATTATCATCTATATAATAATGCAGATTATTATATCTGTAGTGCTGGTTTAAAAATACAGAGGAAGGACTTCGGCAGGCCCAGGGCAGGTGACTGGAGCCTGTTTGAACGTGTTTCACCCCGTGCTCTTGTTTCACTCTTGGCCAGAAGCAAAGATATTGCAGCGAAAGTCACTGCTGCACACATTAGACTTCCAGCTGGCTCGCTTGGACCTTTACCCTGACTTTTGGCAAAAATTGTGTCAAAAGTGGTGCTGCTCTTGCAAACTAAGCACATGTGGTCTGGCTAAACTCTTGTGTTTTATTTGTATTTTAAAGGACATAACTATAGTCACTATAAGGTTTGAGGTGGGTGAACTACTTAGAGGGTATTTGATTGTGCTAGAAAATATATTAAGAAAGCAAACCCTGCATTCTGACTTCTGAGTGAAGAGAGGATTTCAGACAAAAATTTAAAAAATAAAGAGAGCTTGTTTTTACATGTGTTGCCTTTGCTTACCCTGTGGAATCTTGGGACCATGTGTCTCCTCAAAATCTCCGTACAAGAAAATTAAACACTGACTGCATGCGGTTAAGAAAATATTAACTGAGAATTATTTGAATGTATATAATGTAAGCCTTGGTGTGAAAATACAGAGCGTGGTATGCAGAAAATTTGGATATTATTATTTCTATTTAAAGAGAAAAGTGATAGCTCAAAAAGGGCACAAGATAAAACTTGCACGTCAGTACAAGATTAAAAAATTAAACTATGTAGGTTGTAACAGTACTAGAAATTAAGTAGGAAAAGGTAGAGTTGATTTGTTCAGCCAGAACCCATGAGTGTAGACAGACTTCACCGTCTACACTGGAGAATTGAAGCGATCATAGAGATGGAATTTCCCCGATAGTCATTTAACTGTTAGCCTGGCCTCCAATTCCTGTACTAGGAACACGAGTCAGGAGCTGCCACCTTCTAAGAACTAGCAGCCGCTAGAATGCAAGAGCCTTCACATTGAAAATAAATATGAACAACTGTGTTGAACTCTACATTGGGGAAGTGCTTGCGTAGCAGAGACAAAAGATTATTTTAAGTGAATTTAGAACGATTACTTGGAACCTACATACTTGGGACGTTCATTCCAAGGACAAAGAATAAGGGAAATTTCGGGCTTGTATTCAGTAGTTTCATTGTTTACAGTAATAATGGTGTGACTGAGAAACCATTTTTCTTTATATTGTTGGGTAAAGCAAGTAAGTAATGAAACGTTTGTGTTAGAAATAATGCAATTCAGTATAAAAGATTCAATTACGAAAGTGAAAGAAATTAAGTAGAGGTACTATAGTAGAATTGACAGGGAAGTATCAGTATGAATGCATGATTTCTTTTTAAAGTCCTTTTGAGTACTGTGCGCTGAACTGGCCAAGAAGCCCTGTACCTCTAGCAGCAAGTGGGTACGGAGAGCCCGTGTGTAGGGCGCAAACCCCACTTCCCATATACATGGAGCCCGCGCTCCCCATACACGTAGAAATGTCTTCGTGGTGGGGAAGCAAACATTCAGAGTGGGCAGGAGGCATCGTGCCAGGAAACGTGGAGGCTTAACGGGATCAAAGCCCAAGAGACCTGGAGGGGGGCTCCCAGTGGCCAAAGTTACGACAATTGAGCCAAAAAATGATAATAAACACTGTTGATAAAAACACTTTCAATCTATGAAAATTCGTGAGTCTGTTATGCTCAAAAGGGAAAACGCCAGAAAAATTAATTCAAAATAATGTGTTACAACTGAAACAGCTATTGAACCAATTATACTTTAAAAATTGGGCAGAAAAGGAAAGAATTGAGTATTTATCCTGCCTTTTCAGTAGGGCCCATGTCCAGGTTAGGGTATAGTCTTAGTTAATGGAGTAAAGCCCTAGTTTATAAAAGGCCCTCTGATAACTGGACATAGAACACCACTGTCTAGCGGCCCTCATGAATGATTAGGTGAGAAATACTAGTTGGGGCTGAAATATTGTCTCGATGGCCTCAGCTGGACCTTCAGAGCAACTGAGAGGAATCAGAGCCGGGCTCCATCAGGAATATAGACCAACAGCCCGTTTTGTGCCCGCCGCCTAAGGAACGTTTGCCCGAGGTGCCTGCCAGCAAGCAGGTCTTGGCTTTGAGATCAGCTTTTGTAGTAAAGCTCTCAGGGAGGGTAGCTGATTCTCATGCAGCTTTTCTGTGGAGCTGGGAGCTCCATCACAATCCTGGGAGCCCCGTGGCCACCCGTTGGCCAGCACCTCCCCCCAGGCCATCCTCCGCCCTCCTCCCATCCCCCATGGCTCCAAGGCAACGGCCCTGCCTGGGGCTACCGCCCCCCAGTCACCAAGCTTTGCTCTTGTTGGCTCTCTCCTGGGCCTGAAAAAACAAATTATTTTGAGACAATGAAATTGATCTCAGAGAGGCAGCAGTGCCTTGCCGCTTGAAGCGCAATCTTAGTTCCCTGACCAGGAACTGAACCTGGGTAGCCTGGATGGAAACCAGGAATCCTAGCTGCTAGACCAGCAAGCCACCAGACAAGCAAATTTTCCCTGGTTCTTTTCCCCACCGAAAAATGCATTTCTCCCATAATTCAAAAAGACACATGCACGCCAATGTTCACTGCAGCACTATTCACTATAGCCAGGACATGGAAGCAGCCTAAGTGTCCATCGTGAGACTAATGGATAAAGAAGATGTGGCACATATATACAATGGAATATTACTCAGCCATTAAAAGGAACTGGGTCATTTGTAGAGACGTGGATGGACCTAGAGAGTGTCATGAAGTAAGTCAGAAAGAGAAAAATAAATATTGTATATTGCATACATGTGGAATCTAGAAAAATGGTACAGATGATCTTATTCGCAAAGCAGAAGTAGAGACACAAACGTAGAGAACAAATGTACGGATACCAAGGGGGAAGGAGGGGTGGGAGGAATTGGGAGATTGGGATTGACACATATATATTATTGATACTGTGCATGAAATAGATAACTGAGGAGACCATGCTGTATAGCACAGGAAGTCTACTTAATGCACTGTGGTGACCTAAATGGGAATGAAATCCAAAAAAAGGGGATATATGTATACGTATAGCTGATTCATTTTGCTGTACAGTAGAAACTAACACAACATTGTAAAGCAACTATACTCCAATAAAAATTAATTAAAAAATAAGCAATGCTGATGGGAAAAATAAAGAAAGAAAAATGCATTTCTCAAGGAGGCAAAAACTGTAAAAACAGGCACAAGTTTATTATTAGAGACACGGCACAACAACAAGTGGGAGAGCACACAGAGAAGCAGTTTGTTTAGTTAAGACAGAAGCAGGGCAGAGATGCACCCCTGGAGGGAAAGGGTGTGGGTGTCCCCCACCAACGAGGAGGAGCCCGGTAAAGAGGCGGTTAAGTCACTGACAGGACACTCCTTCCAGGTCTTTGTTTGCCTTAGGCCAATTATCTGGTATCTTTCTCCACACCCGACCTCCCCCAGGACCCTCCCCACCGTGCGTGTGCAACTTTTTTCCAAGATGGATTCCAGCCCAGAGGCCTATGGAGAGCCTTGGCGTCACATATTATGGGGTGGTGCCCCCTCCTTTTTGACCCCCAAGGAGCCTTTCTGCACATGCGCAATGTCTCCCTTGCCCCAAGGATGGGAGATACGTGACCTGTGGATCTGTTACTCAAACAAGGGTTAGCTCCTCTCTGTTCATGCCGCGACTGTTATCTTAAAGTGTCCTCAGGAGGCAAAATCCAACTATTTACCCTGGTCCTGTTGTTATTTCTATCTCAAAGTACAAACAGAGGGCTGGTTGTAAATATCTAGCCTGGAGCCCACTTGCCTCCCGCCTCAGGAAATGTAACCAGAAGGCTGGTTGTAAATGCCCCGCCTGGAGCCCATCTATCTCCAGCCTCAAAATGACTGGGAAGAACTCTGATGTAATGTCGGGTGTCAGGACCTCAGATGTTGTAACAACTCTTGCTGCTTTCCCGCTACTGTCTGCAAACCTTCCCTACACATGCACCTGAGAAAACGACTAAGAAATCCTGGATGAAAATGTAGAAAGACAAAAGGAGTCACTGAGCTCTGCAGGGAGGCGTGTGGCAACTGTCACCACCGACGCTTATCACCCTTTGCTCCAGGGGAGGTACACGTCCCAGCCCAGGACCCACGCTGTGGGTGGGAAAGATGGGGCAGTGCAGGACGTACTTCACGATGGTCACCTCTGTCCCGTGACTTGTCAGAGAAAGGAAATGCTCCTTGGCTGAAGCCCTCGTGGCACTTTGGCCCTGACAGTCAGTGTCCCTTATCATGGAGGTGGCATAGTGCATTCGTAGCTTCAAATTCTCTCTGTATTTTATTATTTGAAATGAAAAATATTTTGAGATCTTGAGTATTTTTAGAGACAACGTTATATGTGGTAATTTAAAAATCCGGAAATGTATTTTTACCGACCCAAATTTGGGTCCACTTGCCCGCACGGTAAAGCCAAGCCACTGACCCCGGGCTGTGGGGAAGGAAAGTACAGCCTTTACTGCAGGCGCCGAGCAAGGAGTCCAGACAGCTGGTGCTCAAAACACCCGAACTCCCCGATGCATTTCAGGAAAGCATTTTCAAAGGCCAGCTGAGGGAGCAGGGGGCTCCCAGGGTGTGTGATCCGCTCGCGCACAGTTCTGATTGGTTGATGGTGAGGTCACAGGGCGGGGTCACAGGGGTCCACATGATCAATCCTTAGGTGCCAGTAGGGCTGGGGGCTACGTGCCCATGGTCGTCAAGCAGTTAATTTCTTCCATTTGGTGGCGGTTTTAGCATCTGTAAAACAACTCGGGAAAGGTGCATCAGGTACTATGATCTGGGTACTTCAGAGCGGAGCTGATGAAGAGGACCTGGGGGAGGGGCCTGTTCCAGGAAGGCCCCATCGGGTCCTGCTCGGTTACAGGATCATTGGGCCTTTAGAGTAATTACATTTTGCATCAACCCTGTCCTTGTGTTTTCATGTTTTAGCTGTGCAGCTGTTGTTACTGTAAATGTGAACTCCTGTTCATTGTTAACGTATTTACGTATTGACATTGCTGGCAGTGTTCTCTACTAATACACCCCCAATGCCCAGGTATGATGCCCTGAGGACACCCTGAAGGGAGCAGGCACTGCTCTCACAGTGTAGACCAAAGAGCCACATTTTTTCTTTTAACTTTATTGGAGTATAGTTGATGTACAGTGTTGACCACCATGCTGTGATGACACACTTCAGATGTCTCCACAAGACAGAGCTCTTTAAGTTCCCAGGAAGAGCACCGAGCTTGCCCAGGCCCTGGAGTCGGTGCTCCCAGGAGGGCTCCTGTCCAGTCCCCACGGCAACGAAGTTTTCATGTCGTTTGGTCAGTCTGCTTGAAGAGGGTTTCACTTATAAATGGAACACCCACTTGTTTTAAGTGTCCTGTTTGCTAATGAGACACTGGTCACTTTAAAGGAACCAA